CTCAAAAAGTGTTTTCTAGACGTAAAATTAGTCGCCAAATACACAGTCTGTTAAAAAAAATCTTCTGTGACGAGTAATTTTTGCAAAATTGAACAATATTTTAAGTTAAAAAAATGCCAATAACAAATGTGATTTTCAGTTGGTTTCGAGTCAAATTAATAAAATTCAAATTTCATCTGTCCCATTTCTAGCTTTTTTGCAAATTACGCAACCGCTGAACGACCAAATCGGGTATACGACTTGATTTCCCCGGCACTCGCTCCATTTAAAACGTTAAAATTGCTTTATTTATCCGCGTCCACATATGGTCATGTTTGAAATGAATACAGTAGCCAAGAAGAAGTAATTTTAACCGTCGCTTACAGCGTCAAAGTGGCTTTTCGCTCGCATATATCTTACAATTTAGCCGTTGCTAACAAGCCTTGTAATTCTACCGACGTGTTTTTTCATAAATGCACCTTTTGGTGGAATCTCTCTGTGAAAATTTCAATTTGGGACGCGTCAGAATTTTCTAATTGCCTCTCACGCTTCCGATGTAGAAAGCCGAAGAATGCCGCTGGATTATTACAGTTGGCGTTTTTTCTCTCGTGCAAGAGCCTTTCAATATACGACCTTGCATTATTACGACAAGGCCGCAAGAACCCGTGTTGGCATAATGTAATAAATCCGTTTATTCGAAACGTTGTCGGTGGATCGGTTTTTATATCAAAGCCAGACGGTTGTATTTCATTACGTTGTTTAGACATAGGAAAGGATATTATAGAGTTACGAGGACACGATTTATGTACTCGAACAAAACGAATTTTCGATTCTGAAACACTAATTGGAAATATGCGACGATACCAGTGGCGGCTCGTAGTCGTTTATTAAGAGGCAGATCTTTTTTTATACAGATGTCCCAAAAAAATTTTAAAAAAATGGTATAGGACATTGATAGATACTAATCTAGTGCATTACCTAAAATTATTTTCACCCATACAGTATGTCCCAAAAACAAGTTACGATACAAACTTGTGTTTTTTTAAATGAAACATTGGATGTTTCTTTGTATTTTTGAGTATAGCCTTTTAAAACAATGTTTTTACGCTAAATTTTTACTAGTCGATTTCGCTTAGTTTTTGAAATAAGACGTTTTTTTTGACGAAAACATGCACTTTTTAAAAATTTATTACACAGCTAGAATAAATCTTTTCTTACTTCTGCAAAGAAGAAAGTACAGAATTTAAAGCTGTAGCAATTTTTTAGTGTTTTACATTTGTAAAGATGAATAAATTAAGAAATTTGTCAAAAGTTAAATAACTTAAAAAATTTAAATGGAACACACTATTTTTGATTTTTGCATCTAATATATTGATAAATTGTCTATCTAAAAAAATAAACTTTAAATGTCTAGAATTGATAATTGAAAAGATATTTAACATTCAATATTATTTGTAGCAACAATGCCTATCAATATCTGAGCATTGTTGACTTATCCAAAGATTGTAAAAGTCGTTATAAATACTGAATTTCGAATTATTTTAAAAATAAAAAATAATAGATTCAGTTTAAGACAAATGTGATTATTAAGTGATATTTATTTCATTCATCTCTTATGCAATTGTGCACTTTTTGGCTACTGAAAAAATAGTAATTATTTTTTTAATGTTTAACGTTAAATATCTTTTTAGTTATTGATTATAAACACCTAAAAGCAATAATTTTAGAAAGGCAATTTAAAAATCTTTTAAATGCAAAAACAATAAATAGGGTGTTCCATTTAAATTTTTTAAGTTACTGAACTTTCAATAAACGCCTTTATTTTTTTATCTTTGCAAATGCAACACACCAGAAAAATGTTACAACCTTATAGTTTGTACCTTCTTCTTTGCGGTGGTAAAAAAATATTTCTAGATGTCTTAGTTTTTGTGTAATACATTTTTTAAAAGTGCATGTTTTCGTCAAAAAATTCGTCTTATTTTTAAAACTAAGCAAAATCGACCAAAAAACGTTTAAACATTGTCATAAAAATCTACATCCAAAAACCCTAAGAACCATATGGTGTTTTATTTAAAAAAACACAAGTGTGTATTGTAACTTATTTTTGAGACACGCTGTATAGTAGAAAATAATTTTAGGCGATGGACTCGATTAGTATCTATCAATGTCTTATACATTTTTTTAAATTGTACCATTTAAAGGTCAGTAATAGACTTTTTCAACTCGCTGGGATACTGTAAAAAAAATAAAAATATGCCTAATACTTTACGACTAAAAAATAATTCTTTTCTTTGCTGACCACAAAAAGCTAACTTTTAACAACAGAAAAATACAAAAATCGACTAACCTTTTTAAAAATTTTTCATTTTTTTTGAGGGATTCATTAAATTTATTAATTTCAATTTGCGGGACCGAATCTACATTTGTGGCTATATTTTATTTACTCTAGAGATGTAATTTGCTACTCATACATATGTTCTTGACTTTAAGTGTGTCTTTCTATTGCCTTTGATATTTTTTTTAAGTTGTCATACCACAGTTTTAGACCATGCTTCCTCATCACCACTTGAAAATGGCCAAAAAAATATTTTTTTTGTGTTTCACTTCCAGTTTACCACTCATATTTATTAAAACAAGAATTTACAAAACTGTGATAATAATTAATATTCCTATGACCCTAAGAGAAAGTAAGTTTGTCTGTCCCACTCAAAGTTCGAGTCGAAGTTACTCTCTGGCCTTAAAACATTTTGAATTACATACTAGCCTTTTCAAAAATCTCAGCTTTTCTCACCGACATGCCGCACTAATTACCAGAGCTGTGAAGGCGCGGCGGTTTATTTAAAACTGGTTCACTATTATTTATAGCAAAAAATCAACATTTAAACAAATAAAAACTTATTAAATACAAAATTATATAAAATTTGTAATTTACGCTTCAAAAATAGTCAACAGTTATTTATTATACAAGACGATAAAATTAAATTTTTATTTTTTATTTTTAATTGCTCTCAAAGATAATGAAAATTTTATTCAATCCTCACTAATTTTGTAGTCAATTTGGTCGATATTTATAAATGTCAAAGTAAAATTCAACAATGAAATGTAATGTCAACTAACAACCGCAGATATAAACCAATGGATGTATTTTTCATCATCTAGACGATAAAATTTCATTTTAACATGAAAAAAAGAGTAGATAATAATCAGTTTTAACGTAGAAGATTGAATAAAATAATTTAAATTTCTAGTAAATTATTTTATTTTTAACTTCTATTTTCACTGCCTCCCCTAACGAGCCGCCACTGGACGATACCGGGAAGCATTCGCCAGGTTAATTACCATTTTACGACCGAGCTGAGACGGTTAACGGTTTCGTTGCTTCAAAACTTTTAGAAGATTCATGACAGAGGAACAAAATTGCTTATTCTCGTTCATTTTTTATTTTAGAGCGTAGCGTAAAGATTTAAATTCCCCGCCATTTTGTCAAGGGCGGGGCTAAAACATGATCAGTTGATTGGTCAAGCTTGATCACGTGATTTTATTGCAATTGCAATAGCCAAACCGAGTGAAATAATAAGTCGTGCACGATAATAATTTCGATTTAATGTCGTGCAATTATTTTAAATGAAGAAACCTGCAGCCCACTGACCAATCAATCAAAGCCGTCATTACTGTCGCTGCAAGCTGTACCTACACTATAATAATAGATTATATTCGTTATTTGATTTCTTCAAGTTGTTTTTCTGCGTCTCGACGATATTAATGAAAATGTACAGTTCTAGTCAATATTATGCAAATTTCAAAGAGAATTCTAATTAAATTCAAATATTTCTGAATCGACTTCGAGACAAGATAATAAGTCGTGCCGTTTCCCAAGGGCGTTTTTTCCTGAATTAATAAGGATCATTTGCTTCATCCTGAAGCCATTAAACACGGAGCCGCTTAAGGAATATTCACGTTTCACTATTTCATTCAAAAATATTGTTCCGGAGGCCGCAGTTTCCGTTAACAGAAATAGCAAAGGTGTTTTTTTTCATCTTTTCAAATAACTTATGAAAATAAATTAGCATTTATTTCGCTTTTACTCGCATTTTATTGTTATTGCTTATCGGACGGTTTATTTTATTGCTTTCTATTTTATTATTATTTCAAAACAACGCTCGCACATTATTAAAAATCGCAACTGGTTCTTAAAATAAGATCTCTATCGAAATAGTTGCAAAAACACGTTTGTTACTCTTTGTGCAAATAAATATGGCCATTAACAATGATTTATTTCAGAATATGAGTATTCCAAGTGCATTGCAAGTTTGTGTTGCAAATTTGTACTTGATATTTGAGAAAGGTGAAGGATGAGAACCCTTCTCTTGGAAGCCCCATTTGTGACAAGTTTTATTAATTCTCCTTGAAATCATTGACCATCTGCCGTTTTAATAAACCAATCAGCTTCTGTTTACCACATATTGTGGTCGATGAGTGTCAAGTTTCTTGATTTATAACGGTTTTTCCTTTATGGTCTATTTGTCACTTGTAAAAACACCATGAGAAGATTTTCCTCGCAATTTTCATTAACTGTTTGATCAAGGTAACACACCTGTATTTATCTAGTAATAAATGTAGGAGTGCACAAATTATATTAGAAAGAAAATTTTGAATGTCGCGCCTGTTTGAAGTGGAGCTAGTGTCGCCTATCGGCGTAATGATGGTGAAGCAGTGGTGTTAGCGCTCTGTTTAAAAATTGCTGAAGATGAAGAAATCAAACACAAGATCAAACATTTTTTGGCGAAAAATTATGAAATATCTCTTTACAAAGGTACGATTTGTTGCTAATAACTTTATTTACAATCATTTTATCAAAAATACAACAACAATGGACCGGTCCATTATAACCCGAAAGTGGGGGTGCTACTTGTCCCAAAAAAAACAAATAATCCTAGAAAATTACCACACAAATTAATTAAAGACACAAAACAATCCGCTGTTTTTGCAATTATTGTCGTTTTAATGTTATTTTCGCTCGCTCCCATTGAAATGTGCGTTTATTGACCGCGCAGAGTGGGGGTTTCAGTGTCCGATCTTACCGACCGTCTAGTGACTTTAGTTTCGCAGTGTTGGCATTCCGCGTCAGCTGTGTTTTGTGTACGCTGTCAATAAATTTGACATATCTCTTAAAAAATCGCCCTAAAATGAGTATAACTATCGAAAAAACGAAATACGAGTGTGCCACGTTACCTAAACGATGGCAACGCGAAGACATGTTGCGAAAAACGGGGCTTTCGGTTGGCAAAGTGGACGTGATGTACTACAGTCGAGGCGTCCGTAATGACGCTTCCTTGGTGCCCCCTATCCGGCAGACGGCCTCTATTTTTAAGCAGCCGGTCACCGTGTACAAAACACAGGAGAGTAAGGTGAAGTCCGATTACAAAAATGGGAATCAGGAGAAGCCGAAACAGTTGATTTGGGAGAAGAGGTTGGAGGGGTTGCGGGCGTGTGATTTAGACGGGACGGAGTTCGAAGCGATGGAATTGCCCAAAGGGTTGAAACCCGTGGGGCCGAATGTGAGTGAAGAGACGATTATACAGAGTGTTGCTACGGCTTTGCATGTGTCTACTCAGCCGGTGACGGGACAAACAGGACCGAAGGCAGCGTTGGAGAAGAATCCAGGGGTGTTTTTAGATCCGAAACAGCCTTTGGTCCAAGCGGTGAATATCTCAGATGAGGATATTAAAAGGCAAGAGGATAGGGTGGCTCTGGCGCGGAAAAAGTTGCAAGAGGCTCTAAAGTCGTAGAGTGTAGACAAATTTTATTTATTTAAGGTGTATCATGTGACTAGGTTTAAGTTTCTTGTTAAGTGAAATTTTTTTATTACAATAAAGTTAATTAAGGATGTCGAGTTTTATTATTATAAAAAAAGTTACATTAGGGTTAAATACTCCACAATTTCCAGTCAATAGGAATGTCCACCAAAAAGCGCAGCGAGCTTTTTGTTTCGAGTCAAAAATGTTCTTTGTGTTGTTAAACTTGTAAATAGTGTAAATCATCAAAGCCGTTTTATGTAACCCGATTAAATATGTACTTCCCATACACATTACAAAATACGAATGCAATAATGCATATGATTAAACTTTTTTCTCATCTTGATCCAACTAATTTTATACTTCTATCATCTAAAAAGGATAAAATTTCATATGTCGGACGACTTCTTTCTGCACAGTTTTATGCAACATGAATATTTATAGTCAAGTTCATTAAATTCGATAAATTCATAAAAGTGCAAACATCGGTGAAAATTCCGTTTTCAGATGCAAAGTCAGACGAACCATTTGAAATTTATCGTTCAGTTTTCGTGAAATGACGTATGAGTTGAAGGGTACGTGTAAATTTTCGGTTGTATTTACCATAAATTTCTTGAATGCAGTGTAAAAAGCGTGAAATATATCCAGACTCTGTATGAATGAATGTTAAAAATGAGAGGAAACGGAAATTTGTCACGGGGGAAATATGCTTTGGACTATTGGGGGAAAGAGGAAAGGTTAAAAAACAAAACGAAAAATTATGTAACTAATTGTTATTTGTCATTTTACTGTTGCAGAAGTAAAATGCACTAGGCTATTTAAGTACTTATTTGGATGCTTTAATGGTACACTGGCGGACACGGAATTTTGAACGATTTATCATTCGATTCACCTAAAAATGTAAAACGGGCCTTAGGCAACTAACCTCACTTTTGGTTTTTGTACTTTTTATCCTGATAGTTAGAGAAAAAATAACAACAAATCAAAATAATTTATTAAACTTATATAAAAACACGTTTTGCTAGCATTATTGTTTCAGAAAATTGACGCCAAAAATAAATTTCAGCTAAAGCTTTCAAATTTTAATTTCAAATGTCAATCATAATGACAATAAAGCCTGGTTTACATTGACATTTTTTGAACCGACATAAATTTGATGGTCAAAGTTCCGCCACTGTACCTACACCTATGGTTACAGAATTTTGTTATCTCTCTAATATACCACATACAGACTCCGCCAGAACTCGCGCCCCAGAGAGATACTAGGAACATATAAAAAATGTTAAAAAAGTTCTATCTATAAAAATTTCGAAGTTATGAGAGCACTTTGACTCTATTTATTTCTGTTGGAAAAATAATTTTCCAAGTTTTTTGCTACAGGCTATTAAAAAAGGAAACAAGGAAGTTGCATCCTAAATTGTAACTCTGTTTAACGTTACTTGTGGTTTTTATTGGCAAAATTTTTGTACCTTTACTCAATAATTATAAAAAAAAACATCAGTATCATTAAAAAAACATAAAAATGTCAAATGTCAAAAAATAAATGTCAAAGTTTTTTTAAGATAAAATTTTATAATTTTTTTCTGTTTCTGGTATCTTATCATACTTGAAATATTTCTCTGGGGCGCGAGTTCTGACACACCCTGTATATCTCAGTTATTTGCTTATTTGCTGCACTTTTTTGGCAACGTGTTTCATACATGATTTTTTCTACAATCACTAATTTTTTATAATAAATGGAAAATGGACAAAGAGAATTGCAAAGTTGACGAGACAAACAAAATCAATCTTGTTTCCGAGTTGTTGTTTCAATAATTTGCGAAAAAATATCGGAAAGTTTGCCCACACAATTTGGAAAAATAAGTGATGACGATGATTTCTGATATCGAAAATGAAGCAGAAGCCGCTGTGAATTCTCTTATACGAGAAAGATCAAAATCTGTGTATCAGGCAACTTAAGACAAATTTGAAATTTGGTGCACGGAGAAAAAAAATTGTTTCCATCACGGAAAAGGTAGTTTTGGTCTATTTTTCTCAAGCTTCAAAGATTTGGAAGACACAGCCTCGTGTTTGCCAATTTCTTCTACGTCTTCACTTGTTAAAATTATCATAGAGAATCAAAATTGTCAAAATATTTCGGATACAGTCTCATCAAATATTCAATTTTCTAATATTTATAATTATACTTTCAATATTTATATAATTACACAATAACAAACAATACAAACAATAAGCCGTTTATTTTGTGTTTTTTGGCATTATTTGCTCGGTTTCTTTTGACGTTACATGACATTTCTTTTAGGCACTAGAGCCTAATAGCATGCCATTTTGTAGAAAAAAATATAGTTTTAATTTGCTTTGTATCGATTAGAAAGCATAACAAATAAAACTAGTGCGCAAAAATAGTGTCAAATTTTTTTCCAATTTTGCTCCTGACTTGCACAAACCGTCTCAAATCCTCTAAAATTCCTCGCCACGCGTCGAAAATTCTTTAACCCAGTTCGCTTTGTCGTTCTGCGGCCCGATTCCCGTTAAACAATTTCGAAGTTGCAGTGTAACATCGCATTATCGCTCGAAAATCATCATCGATAAACGGCAACGATCGCCACAGGGATCAAGATTGATGAGCTCTGTTGGTCAAGCAGTACGGAAACAGCACGACCACACTCTGCCTTCGAATTAACATGAGAAAAGAAGGAAGTTGTAAATGTTCGACAGAAGGAGGCATCCATGACCTCTAAGTAAACTGATGAAAACGAAATAAGTGTAACCAAGTGTTTAGAAAGGGGTAGTCGATACGACGTCGAGCTACTTTTGAATTATATATGACCCAAACTTAAGGTGTTGCTGACTCAGAACAGGTGAATGTTCGATTTTCTGGATCCAGAGGGGATTCACGGCAAACCTCAAGCACTCGATAAAAGTTTGCAGGAATTGTATGGAAAGCAATTCCGAAAGGCAGAAAAGTTGGCTTTAATAATCTTTGTTGTTCTCATATTAAACGTCAATTTTGGGCAACAAATATAAGTGTTTGTGAGAAAACTCAAAAGAAGGAAAATATTGATTTATAGCATATCAAAATGGATTATATCGAATTATTTTTAATGAAGAAGTTGTTTGAATATGGACGAAAATTTAGAAAGAAACTCACCGGTTTTTCATTTTTTAGATTTCTGGAAATAATACCTTTAACTCTATTCCCCATAATTAACTATTTTTGAATTCAATGGTTGAATTACAAAAAAAAATATTTTTGAATTGTCATTGAATAGTATTATTTTGTTAAATTTTTATGAAAGGCAGATGTGACCCAGTTGGTTGACGATAAGGGATAATTTTTCAGCAGCCAGATGCACCGTAATTTATTATCCATTACAACATCATAAATTTGCAATTTAAATTCTTGTAAAGAATTTTTTACAAGAACCACTAACAAACAAGGTCAGTTGTGATAAAACAATATCGGCATAATTTCACCTTCCATGCGTCATTTTTTATCATCAGGTTTTCCCCTTGATAGATCATAAATTAATTTTTTTTCTTTTCTATCCACTCAGCGAAAGCATTAAATAATCCAAAACTGGCTCATTTATAAACGTTAAAAAGAAATACAGCCTGTAAAAAATTCCAAACGACGAAAATAAAGTAATAATGGTCTCCAAAGCCCAAGACTTTTAATATTTTCCCCTAAAAAAACGTTAAACCTCTTAATTTTAATCGTCCGACATAAATTCACACAAATTGCGTTAATGGATGAGAACAATTTCGAGAAAAAGCTTCCACAATTGCCCATCGGCTTCTCCTATCTATTAAAGTTGACCTTACGTCCGAAAATGCCTCACATTACACCCTCATCTATCAAAGATAACAAGTATCTCATCAATTCTAATTCAAGTCCAGCAAAACGAAATCCAGGTTTCGAAAGATAATTGAAACTGAAACCTTGAGAATAAAGGATTCTGGAATAAATCGAAACGGTAAAAAAAGATCACAGAATACCATTAAAAAGATTAAGTTTCTTTGAAATGCTCTTTGAACACTTCTAAAAAAATACAATCTTCTCGTGTGTTGAAATTAAATAGCGATTTGGTGGCGTCGCTGAAGCGACGACTAATCTCAACTTAAATCGAGTGTGAATTATTGTAATTGAGACAACCAACTGTGATGGAGCAATTAAATTACAAAACTAATTTTGTTCTAAACTTCTAAAGTTTCTCGCGTTAAACGAGTAATTTCCGATTTAGGATGGAAAGAATAGGTGATTTACCTGACTTAAACGACGACCAAATACAGGTCCTGTAAATTACATTTCAGGCATTCTTTTAAAAATACTGCCTCGAGAAACAGAGACAATGCTGATGGGCTTCTTTTGTATCCTGCTTATTCACCCTTCAGGAAAAATATTTCAGATACAACAATAGAAATCGTTAGTCATTTTACTATTATTATTTCAATGTAGGTGATTTGGATTTTGTACAATATGTCGCATCAAAGCTACAGGAAATTCGAGTTTTGTTGTAGTTAAGTGCTTTTCGTCGTTGGATAGTTCTCAAATTATAATGGAGTGTTACTTCGAACGAGTACAAGGAACTTTTCCAGTAAGTAGTCTTTTTTATCATGGATTATGTTGGAACAAAGAGTTAAAACAAGTTTCGTAAGGTTAATATTGCTGTTATGCTTGTAGCAACAAGTGAAATTAATGAAGTAACGAGGTTTTGATCATAGAAACAACTGGAATATCGTAAACTTGTTTCTTTGTATTTATTTTTAATTTCTAAATTAAAATACCAACTTGGTTTAAATTTGCTAACGATATTCTAGTTTAATTTTGGATGAAAGTTTTGTCATTTTAGAGCGTAAAAAGTGGACAATTGAGACCTAAAACAAAATCAGAAGAAAAAAATCTGTTTACGCTCATCTCTGAGTCAGTAATAAGATTCCGAAAAGTCTTAAACGACACACATCATCTGTTATTTGGTACATATCGACCTTATGACGTTAATAACTATAATGGTACAAGGCCGATAAGAAGCAAATAACAGACGCGATTTAATGTTGGGAAATCGAAGCGATAGCCGATATTTTGCCATAAAC